TCAGCAAACACAAACCTAAACGTAGGTGAAAAAATGCAAAAGAAAGCAAGAAGTTTTAATGCAGACACAAAACTAAAGTCTGTGATAAAGTCCAAAAGAAACAGCAGCCTTACATCAGACAATGGGCCATGATCACTAAATCCTTAGAAGCAGACTCGAAGCAGGTTCAATTGGAGTAAAAACATCAGTATCAAAGTCGTAGTTAACCAGTAACTGTTCCTGCTTCTGATTTATAGCCCTAAATTCCCCACACAAGAGGTGTTAGGGAGGCTCCCAATTACCTCGGCATTTCTAGCAGCTATTCTAGCTGAACACCATCTGTGCTCTGTTTCCTTTCACCTCTCCAAAAATGTGGGCACTTGCAAAACCTCATCGTCTGATTCCTCTTCCCAACTTACCTATCCGAACGTGTCTCCCCTTACGAACCTTCCAAGAATTTAAGATTATCTGTGGAAGCCCTGCACTCGATCCCGCCTGCCTCACAGGTGCGCTTGAGAACAAGGGACAAGGCCTTCTCAGTGGTGGCCCCTCGGCTGTGGGACTCCCTTTCTGGGGATATTAGATCGCCCCCCTCCCTTCTGGCCTTTAGGAAAAGAGTAAAAGCCTGGCTCTTTGAGCAAGCTTTGGAATTGTCTAACCAGATAAACTCAGTATTGTGAATGAATATGGAACGGCTTAACGATGCAAATGGATATGGATTTAAACCCAGAAATCATTGATTTTTATAGTTTTAAATTGTTTTTATATTATTATTATTATTATTATTATTATTATTATTATTATTAACTTTATTTGTACCCCGCTAGCATCTCCCGAAGGACTCGATGCGGCTTACAAAGGCCAAGGCCTCAAAGCGTAACATAACAATACAACACCTAAAGCAAATTAAAACAATTAAAGCAATATTAAACAACAAAACAACAAGCAATAAACAATACACCAAAACACAATAAAACTGGGCCGGGCCAGAGTGAAGGGTACAGAATTAAAAGTGCTGATGTGACAGGTGATATGTAAGGATTATAGGGCAAGTGCAGTGTGCAGTGTGCAGCAATCTTAGTTGTAATAAAGTGCTTCTGGGACTTGGTATTGGAGATTTCCTATTCTGGGAAGGCACATCGGAACAGCCAGGCCTTCAAGTTCTTTCTAAAGACTGCCAATGTAGGGGCCTGTCTAAGACCTTTGGGGAGGGTGTTCCACAGTCGGGGGGCCACCACAGAAAAGGCCCTGTCTCGTGTCCCCACCAAACACGCCTGCGACGCAGGTGGGATCACGAGCAGGGCGTCTCCAGATGACCGAAGTGAACACGTGGATTCGTAGAGGGAGATACGGTCACGCAGGTAGGCTGGTCCCAAACTGTTCAGGGCTTTGTAGGTAAGCACCTGCACCTTAAATTGGACTCGGAAAATAAACGGCAGCCAGTGGAGCTCCTTGAACAGAAGGGTTGACCTCTCTCTGTAAGGGACACCAAATAACATCCTGGCCGCTGCCCATTGGACCAGTTGAAATTTCCAAGCTGTTTTCAAGGGCAGCCCCACGTAGAGCGCATTACAGTAGTCCAATCTAGAGGTGACCAAGGCATGGACCACCCCGGCCAGATCAGCCTTCGCGAGGTACGGTCGCAGTTGGTGCACGAGTCTCAATTGTGCGAAAGTTGGCGCACGAGTCTCAATTGTGTGAATTTAACCTGTTTTAAACAATGTATTTATGTGTATTCGGCATCTAATTGTTGCCAGTCTGTATGCTGACCTGAGTCGCCTTCAGGCTGAAAAGTGTGGCAAATAAATAAATAATAAATAGAGCAGGGTTGGGAGGACAATGGCTTTATCAACAAGTACCTTGGTCTCCCAATGGATGTCCAGATCCTCAAACAGTCTGCCTCCTTCAGAAAAATGCTGCACTCGCAGAGCACTAAATAACACTAAATCTTTGCAGCTCAATTCGAGCTACTTTTCTATACAACAAATCTAAATCAAAACACAGATACAGAAATAAAACACACATGGGACAGAAATCATAAGCCACCTTAAGGTTCCCATCACCTTTTCCCTATCCAAATCAGAAGCCACACAGCTGTATTAAATCCACATTGAACTGGATTATATGGCAGTGTGGACTCAGATAACACAAGCAGATATTGTAGATTGCCTGCCTTGATATTCCAAGTTATATGGCTGTGTTGAAGTGCCCTGAGTTTTGGCTAAAACTGTGTTCCCTTTTAGCAATCCTTTGCGGGTTTGGGGGGGGGGGGTCAAACATTGTCCTGCAGAGCCTCAGAAATTGCCACAGAGCACTTCTCCTTCAGATTTCAGGTTACTCAGGCGGTTGGTATGTGAAGACAATAATCTCTCCTAATAGGATTTCTCTGATGTGTTTGGGTTTGTTGTACACTGGGGGCATGACCCTGGGAAAGCTAACAAACACTTTCTGTCTCTGGATTTTCCTGTGGTTAAACTTCAAAACCTCACTTGGATCAATGCGCAATTTTGCAGCAAATACCTCACCTGACCCTCTCCGGCACCACACACAAGAGTATTTGCCAAAATGGGTTTTTAAGGAGATAAAATATGTGTGTGTGTGTGTGTATTGGGGTGGTGGTGGTGGTGAGAGAATTCATATTTCCACCAAGCAATGGGATCAGCCCAGAGCAAAATGTAAACAAAGCATTCCTTTCCACTGCCAAATCGCGAACTCAGTGCCTGATCATGACAGGTGAGCCATGTTAAGGCTGAAGACTAGAAATGTGTCCAGGGAGATCCCTTGCTTTAGGTTGGCAAATCAGTTAGACGGAATTGCTCCACTGACTTTTTGACCCTGCCCTTGGCTGATCCTTTCTTACTCTGCATCTAACACCTTGCAGAATCTCACCAATCTTGATCTCATTTTGTGGTCTTTCAGGGGTTGGCATGGCATGAGTGGGGAGCACAAGCTACCCACACTAGTACAGAATGCAATTATTTTGTTATTAGTGGCCAAGAGCGCATTCAAGGATTGCCGTGTTGTTATTCTAGGTGATGATGATTATTATTATTATTATGGAAAAGCTGACACAATACGAGGATTTAAAGATCAACTGCAAAGACTCTGGCACACTGGATCCCAGTGGTGATCGGCACACTGGGTGCAGTGCCTAAAGACCTTGGCCTGCACTTAAATACAATTGGCACTGACAAAATCATCATCTGTCAGCTACAAAAGGCCATCCTACTGGGATCTGCATGCATTATTTACCGATACATCACACAGTCCTAAACACTTCGGAAGTGTCCAATGTGTGATCCAATACAACAGCCAGCAGAGTGACCTTGTTTGCTGTGTACTAATCTTGCTATGTTTCAAATAATAATAATAATAATAATAATAATAATAATAATAATAATAATAATGCATTGTTGAAGGCTTCCATGGCCGGAATCACTGGGTTGTTGTAGGATTTTTCGGTCTGTATGGCCATGTTCTAGAGGCATTCTCTCCTGATGTTTCGCCTGCATCTATGGCAAGCATCCTCAGAGGTGGTGAGGTCTGTTGGAACTAGGAAAAAGGGGTTATATATCTGTGGAATGACCAGGGTGGGACAAAAGGACTCTTGTCTGCTGGAGCGAGGTGTGAATGTTTCAACTGACTACCTTGATTAGCATACAATGGGCTGACTGTGCCTGGGGCAAACTTTTGTTGAGATGTAATTAGATGTCCCTGCCTGCTTCCTCTCTGTTGTTGTGCTGTTACAATTTTAGAGTTTTTTTTAATAATAATATATTTATACCCCACCACAATCTCATAGGGACTCGGGGCGGCTTTCAAAAGAGATAGTGGGTTGCATGTCATTGGAGTACTCAATCCACACTGGGTTTTATTGCATCCTTCAAGAAGCTGTAAACAGTGTTGAGGTGAGACTGTCAGGAAGCGATTTAATGCAGTTTGATACCAATGCTGTGTTGTAGTTTGGGGAGGCAATAAGGATCTTGAACAACCCCAGGATTCCATAGGATTGAAAAGTGGTGTCAAACTCTATTAATCCTACATTGCAGATGCACTCATAGTTTCTACTTTTGCTGTGGAATCTTTGAAGACAAGTGCTATAACTTTACATTCCACTCAAAGGCCCCTCTTTTTGCAATTTTGTGGTTGACTTTCATGCATTTGTATCTGGCTTTCCTATGCTTTGCATAGAAGTAAATTACTTTGGTTGTGTTTTCCTAGCTGGCAGAAGGTGGTTGGATTGGATGGCCCTTGTGATCTGTTACAACACTGTGATGCCATGATGCTTCTTTGGAAGCTTTTAAACCGAGGCTGGATGGCCATCTGTCAGGGGTGATTTGAATGCAATATTCCTGCTTCTTGGCAGGGGGTTGGACTGGATGGCCCATGAGGTCTCTTCCAGCTCTCTGATTCTATGATTCTATGAGGCCTTTAAACAGAGGCTGGATGGCCATCTGTCTGGGGTGCTTTGAATGCGATTTTCCTGCTTCTTGGCAGAATGGGGTTAGACTGGATGGCCCACGAGGTCTCTTCGAACTCTAAGATTCTATGTACTGTCGAAGGCTTTCATGGCCGGAATCACTGGGTTGTTGTAGGTTTTTCCGGGCTATATGGCCATGTTCTAGAGGCATTTTTTCCTGACATTTCGCCTGCATCTATGGCAAGCATCCTCAGAGGTAGTGAGGTCTGTTGGAAGTAGGAAAATGCAGCTCCAGCAGACAAAAGTCCTTTGTCCCACCCTGGTCATTCCACAGATATATAAGCCCTTTTCCTAGTTCCAACAGACCTCACCACCTCTGAGGATGCTTGCCATAGATGCAGGCGAAACGTCAGGAGAAAATGCCTCTAGAACATGGCCCTATAGCCCGGAAAAACCTACAACAACCCATCTAGGATTCTATGATTCTACCTTTAGTTTATATTTGTTTCCTAAATAACTTCAAACCTACACCCAGCGATTGCAAGTAACACAATGCCTTCTTTTCCCCCCCAATCCTTCTGTCTCTCCTCCTCTTCTTTAGGATCGTGGAAATATATAGCAGAAGATTACAAGGTATGTAGTGTACTTAGTGCTATGAGTGGGCACAGTCATTACTCCACATTTGCTGGGGTTTCTCCTTCAGTCAGATATTTCTGGAGATCATATTCTGGGTAACTTTATGGTTTTTGATAACTTTGGGGCTTTGAACATTCACTGCTTTGGTTTGAATTTTGGAGCAGAATTTCTCAACCTGTGGGCCGGGATCTCTGGGATGGTCATGAGGGGGTTTCAGAGGGGTCGCCAAAGACCATCAGATACATATATTTCTGATGGTCTTAGGAACCCCTTTAGCAGAGAAGGCTGAAGATCTCTCTGCCTGTCCTTCTCTTCCTTTTTGGAAACAGACGGCAAATCCTCCCACCAAAAGCCCTCCTCTGCTGTGATTGGCCAGCCTTTCAGCCATGGGGGGGGGGGCTGTTTCTGAGACTCCAAGTGGGGAGGGGAGAGCAGGCATGCTCATCGCATGGCAGTGTGGTCTGCATGTGCGGGTGAGGGAGAGTGTGTGAGGCTGGAGGGAGGCGTGCACCAGCGAGTCCCTGCAAGGCATAGGGGTTCCGTGTGGGAAGTTTGAACCCCACCAATTCTATCATTGGTGGGGTCAGAATGCTCTTTGATTGTGCCAAGTTTGGTCCAGATCTATCATTGTTTGAGTCCACAGTGCTCTCTGGATGTAAAGGAACTAGAACTCCAAAATTCAAAGTCAATGCCCACCAAACCCTTCCAGTATTTTCTGTTGATCATGGGAGTCCTATGTGCAGGGGCGGCTCATCCATTACGCAAAGTAAGCAGTCACAGTACACTTTTTTTGCCAGGGGTGCAGAGGCACCTCTGTAAATGCCCCTCGACTGCCACTTGAGGAGCGCCCCCTCGGCACACAACAGCCCTAGCAGTCCGGGGAAAGCCTCAGCAACCTATTACGCAAAGTAAGCATTTGCAGTATAGTTGATTTTGCCCAGGGGCGCTCTTGAGGCGCTCTTGGGGGAAAATAAACCTTGACATATGCGAGTTGTAGTTACTGGGATGTATAGTTCACCTACAATCAAAGAGCATTCTGAACTCCACCAATGATGGAATTGAACCAAATATGGCACACAGAACTCCCACGACGAACAGAATATATATATATCAATGATTGGTGGGGGGGGGGGGCAAAATACTGTTTGCTTACCATTGAAAATTATCTAGGGCCACCTCTACCTGTGTGCCAAGTTTGTTTCAATTCCATCATAGGTGGAATTTTGAATGCTCTTTGATTATAGGTGAACTATAAATCCCAGCAACTACAACTCCCAAATGTCAAGGTCTATTTTCCCCAAACTCCACCAGTGTTCACATTTGGGCATATTGAGTATTCGTGCCAAGTTTGGTCCAGATCCATCATTGTTTGAGACCACAAGTGCTCTCTGGATGTAGGTGAACTACAACTCCAAACTCAAGGTCAATGCCCACCAAACCCTTCCAGTGTTTTCTATTGGTCATGGGGGTTCTGTGTGCCAAGTTTGGTTCAATTCTATCGTTGGTGGAGTTCAGAATGCTCTTTGATTGTAGGTGAACTATAAATCCGAGCAACTACAACTCCCAAATAAGTCCCAAATACCCCACCAGTATAGAAATGTGGGCGTATCAGGTGTTTGTGCCAGATTTGGTCCAGTGAATGTAAATACATCCTGCATATCAGATATTTACATTAAGATTCCTAAAAGTAGCAAAATGACAGTTCTGAAATAGCAACGAAAATAATATTATGGTTGGGGGTCACCACAACATGAGGGACTGTATTAAGGGGTCGCGGCATTAGGAGGGCTGAGAAACACTGTTTTAGAGAGATGATGCAAAATAGAAATAACAACAGCAACAAAATTTGAAACATTTTCTGATTTGAAAGTGTTATTTCCTGTTTAATTATACTGTACAATCCGTACTTTGAAAGTAGTTGTTCTACTCCAGAAACTTCATTTTTGTGGCTGCCACAAACTGTGTTGAACTTGTTTAGACTCAATTAGATAGTCTTTGAAAAACTATAGCAAAAATGTGCTGCAGGGTGTCCTGCAAAAACAAATTTTTAGCAGTTCAATAAACTTTTTCCATGTTTTTATGACAGAACCAATTAGGAAATAACATTTATAATACAGGAACAACTATTTTGTCACATAGTGAATTGACCAGGAGAGGGAAGTGGAGAGGGAAGTAGCAATCTTAGGCACAAAAAAGAAATCCAATTGGTGGGTTGTTGTAGGTTTTTCCGGGCTATATGGCCATGTTCTAGAGGCATTCTCTCCTGACATTTCGCCTGCATCTATGGCAAGCATCCTCGGAGCAATCCTTTGTTGGGAGGTGATTAGATGTCCTTGTTTGTTTCCTCTCTGTTGTTGTGCTGTTCTAATTTTGGACATCTAATCACCTCTCAACAAAGGATTGTTCCAGGCACTGCCAGGTAATCAAATGCTAATCAAGGTGATCAGTTGAAACATTCACACCTGGCTCCAGCAGACAAGAGTCCTTTGTCCCACCCTGGTCATTCCACAGATAGATAAATCCTTTTTCCTAGTTCCAACAGACCTCACTACCTCTGAGGATGCTTGCCATAGATGCAGGCGAAACGTCAGGAGAAAATGCCTTTAGAACATGGCCATATAGCCCGAAAAAACCTACAACAACCCAGTGAGTCCGGCCATGAAAGCCTTCGACAATAAATCCAATTGGGTTTCCACTCATGCTTTCTAGATGTCCCATTGCAATCACTGGCTTCTCCATCCCTTTCATTTCTTGTTGCAGTTCAGGAGCGCCTCACGAAACAGATTGCGGTGGCCATCACAGAAGCCTTGCAGCCGGCTGGGGTCGGAGTGGTGATCGAAGCCACGTAAGTGCACACAAGTTTCCAAATCGGAGTCAACACATTGTTTGGGCTTGGAAATATTATGCCTGTTTGCCTTCAGGTCCACAATATCTGCTTTGAACTGGATTATCTTAGTCTGCACTGCCATATCATAGAATCATAGAATCAAAGAGTTGGAAGAGACCTCATGGGCCATCCAGGCCAACCCCATTCTGGCAAGAAGCAGGAATGTTGCATTCAAAGCACCCCTGACAGATGGCCATCCAGCCTCTGTTTAAAAGCTTCCAAAGAAGGAGCCTCCACCATGCTCCGGGGCAGAGAGTTCCACTGCTGAACGGCTCTCTCAGTCAGGAAGTTCTTCCTCATGTTCAGATGGAATCTCCTCTCTTGTAGTTTGAAGCCATTGTTCCGCATCCTAGTCTCCAGGGCAGCAGAAAACAAGCTTGCTCCCTCCTCCCTGTGACTTCCTTTCACATAGTTATACATGACTATCATATCTTCTCTCAGCCTTCTTTTCTTCAGGCTAAACATGCCCAGCTCCTTAAGCCGCTCCTCATAGGGCTTGTTCTCCAGACCCTTGATCATTTTAGTCACCCTTCTCTGGACACATTCCAGTTCAAAGCAGATAATGTGGGTTTTTTAGGGCAGTGTACATGGGGTCTGAGATAGTGACACCTTTGCTTTCTGGCGCATCAATGAACACCAGCTTTGTTTGCACAAAATCCTTCCAAAGGTTGCACAAAGGTTATGTGTGTAAAATGTATATGAAACATAAACAAATTTCATATTTAGACTTGGATCTCCCCTCCAAGATAACTCATTACAGATATGTAAAATGCAGGTATTCAAAATCCAAAAAATCCAAAACATTTCGGGTCCCAAGCATTTTGGATAAGGGATGCGTAACCTGGTCAAAGTGCGTAGTTCATGTTTGGCCAGTCCACACAGTCTTGCCGGAGAAAGAAAATATGCCACATAGATGATCAATAAAGAACAAGAAGTTTACTGTATTGTCGAAGGCTTTCATGGCCGGAATCACTGGGTTGTTGCAGGTTTTTTCGGGCTATAAGGCCATGTTCTAGAGGCATTTTCTCCTGACGTTTCATCTGCATCTATGGCAAGCATCCTCGGAGGTAGTGAGGTCTGCTGGAAGTAGGAAAATGGGTTTATATATCTGTGGAATGACCAGGGTGGGACAAAGAACTCTTGTCTGCTGAAGCTAGGTGTGAATGTTTCAACTGACCACCTTGATTAGCATTTGATAGCCTGGCAGTGCCTGGAGCAATCTTTTTTCAATATTGGTAGTCATATTTTGTTCATCTTCATGGTTTGCCATGCAGCTGTGGACAAGAAGTCTCCATAGGGACCACCAAACGCAGCAAACAAACACGAATCAAGGAACATGAACGACACTGCAGACTACTTCAACCAGAGAAGTCAGCCACAGCAGAGCACCTGATGAACCAACCTGGACACAACATATTAATTGAGAACACAGAAATGCTGGACCACTCTCACAACCACCATGTCAGACTACACAGAGAAGCCATTGAAACCCCCAAGCATGTGGACAATTTCAACAGAAAGGAGGAAATCATGAAGATGAACAAAATCTGGCCACCACTATTAAAAAACTCTAAAATTACAACAGCAAAACAGCAGAGGAAAAACAATCAAAGACATCTAATCACCTCTCAACAAAAGATTGCTCCAGGCACTGCCGGGCCATCAAATGCTAATCAAGGTGGTCAGTTGAAACATTCCCACCTAGCTCCAGCAGACAAGAGTCCTTTGTCCCACCCTGGTCTTTCCACAGATATATACACCCATTTTCCTAGTTCCAACAAACCTCACTACCTCTGAGGATGCTTGCCATAGATGCAGGCGAAATGTCAGGAGAGAATGCCTCTAGACCATGGCCATATAGCCCGAAAAAACCTACAACAACCCAAGAAGTTTACTCTTTGATAAAATAGAACAACATATGTACAATCACTTGAGCAGTTGCGTTGACTCACACAATGTCATTTTCGAGAGATTCAAAATGGTCCTTTCTGTGAGTTGTTGTAGGTTTTTAGGGCTGTATGGCCACATTCTGGAAGCATTCTCTCCTGATGTTTTTCCTGCATCTATGGCAGGCATCCTGAGAGGTTGTGAAGTCCTGTGAGGAGTCCTGCCATAGATGCAGGAGAAACACCAGGAGAGAATGCTTCTATAACATGGCCATATAGCCCGAAAAACCTACAACTACGCAGTGATTCTAGCCATGAAAGCCTTCGATGGTCCTTTCTGTTTCCATGTGAAACCTTCTTTCAGCTGACAAGAAGCAAATCAATCTAGCAATATAGCCCGAAAAAAACCTACAACTACCCAAGAAGCTTACTCTTTGATAAAATAGAACATATGTACAATCACTTTTGCACAGCTCACAGCCTGAATAAGTAACTGTTGCCAAAATTCCCAGGCTCGGCTAGCTCCTTGGGCATGGCCCAACCAATCAGCTTCGTGCCTTGCATTTTCAGTTAAGACGCACACATCAACTGATTTTAGATGCCCCAACAGAGTTGTGTTTGCCAGACTAAACCTCTCTTCTCCCTTTCTTTTTCCCCAAAGGCACATGTGCATGGTGATGCGCGGGGTTCAGAAAATGAACAGTAAAACCGTGACCAGCACAATGCTTGGAGTATTTCGGGAAGATCCAAAGACGCGGGAAGAGTTTTTGACGCTAATCCGCAGCTAAATCCGGCCGTTCATGGACTCTCTCTCTCACTTTCTCTGGACTTGTCTCGTTTCGGTGTCGCTGTTGGCTCTTCTGATTTATTTTCCGTCTCATTTAGATCCACGAAGGGTTCCGTATTGTGAGTCCCGTCGTTTGCTCAAAAAGGTCCCCAATGTCAGAGGTTCCTGACAGTCTTGAAAATGTCCTATCGATGGGTATGGCTATTTTTTCCAGGCAAACTCTCAATGTGCGTACTTGTGTTTTTGTCTATTTGGGCAGAATAGAACTTTATAAACAGAGCTGTTCATGGCCATCAAAGTACTTTGTGCCTATGCTCCCCACGGAGAGAGAAAGAGAGGGAAACCCGTTTGTCCTCCAAGGGACCTCTGCACTACAGAATTGATGCTGTTTAATACCACTTTAATCACCATTTCTGAATGTGGAGCCCCCGGTGGCGCAGTGGGTTAAACCCCTGTGCCGGCAGGACTGAAGACTGACAGGTTGCACGTTCGAATCCGGGGAGAGCGTGGATGAGCTCCCTCTTTCAGCTCCAGCTCCTCATGCGGGGACATGAAAGAAGTCTCCCACAAGGATGATAAAACATCAAAAAATCCAGGTGTCCCCTGGGCAACGTACTTACAGATGGCCAATTCTCTCACACCAGAAGCGACTTGCAGTTTCTCAAGTCGCTCCTGATACGACAAAAAATTGCTGAATACTGTGGAATCATGGAAGTTTTAGTTTTACAATGTCCTTGGTGTAATACCAAAGTTTTTTTGGGAACTGGATGAGCCAAGGACCTGCTGTAAGTCAACCTATTTTAAATATCCTTATATATATAGAAGTCTAGAAAGCGATTTGGGAAAGAGTTTTGTTATATTTATTTATTTTGGGCATTTCTGTCCCGTCCTTCTCACCTCCAAAGAAGAACTCAAGACAGTTTACAGCAGGCAGTCATTAGATGCCAAAAAACAATACATTAAAACACACAGTTACAATTAACACAATTAAAATAATTATAAGCATTATAAGAATTATAACAGTTCGTTGGTTCAAAACATAATCCAGATCAGTCCATTGCAGTCCACTAAAACATTCTTTGCTCAGTTGATTCATTTATTGCACAAACACTTGATTCCAAAGCCAGGATTTGAAGTTTTTCTGAAAGGTCATGAGGGAGGGGGCAGATCTAATATCATTGGGGAGAGAGTGCCACAGTCGAGGGGACACCACAGAGAAGGCCCTGTTTCACATTCCTACTAGGCATGACTGCAAAGGAGGTGGGACCGAGAGCAGGGCCTCCCGGTGTGATCTTAACGTCTTTGGTGGTTCATAGAGGTAGCTATGTTCTGACAGGTAAACTGGGTCGAAACTATTTATGGCATAGGAATTCATTCATTTTAATCCAGCCCTCCAACAGTTTGAGGGACTGTGAACTGGCCCTCTGTTTAAAAAGTTTGAGGACATCAGATATTGACCTTTGGAGGCTTTTCAACAGAGGCTGGATGGTCATCTGTAGGGGGTGCTTTGATTGTGTTTTCCCTTCATGGCAGAATGGGGTTGGACTGGATGGCCTTTGGGGGCTCTTCCAACTTTGTGATTCTATAAACTGGAGGGATTCCCAATCAGCATTTCAAGCAGATCTGTAAATAAACAAATCCATAAAAGTCAGTTCTTGTGGGGTTTTTTGGGCTATATGGCCATGTTCTAGAGGCATTTCTCCTGACGTTTCGCCTGCATCTATGGCAGGCATCCTCAGAGGTGAGGTCTGTATCAACTGTTAAGCAAAAAACGCAACTTGGAGAATAATCCAGATTATACAGAGATATAATCCGGGCCCGAAAAACCCCACAAGAACTGAGTGATTCCAGCCATGAAAGCCTTCGACAATACAAATCCATAAAACCTGCAAATGGTGGAGGACCAATTTTACTTACCTACGAAGCCGAGACAGAATACTGCACAAGCTTCATAATTATTCGTAATTATAATTATTAATTATGTTTTATTCTTCTGTCACATCCGTACCTTGCCCTTTTTCCAAGCTTTAAGGAAGGAATTTCAGCTGAAATTTTGCAAAGACTGGCAGAGGGGATAAAAGGAGAGGGAGTAGGACAACAATCAGGATTTGCAGAGATTTCTTTGAACGTAGCACTGTGATGCCTATTTCAAGGGCAAACGTGTTTATTGTTATTGTTGTTGCTGTGTCTCTTCAAGTAGTTTCTGCACTGTGACCATCATAAAGTGAACCTGTGTCCGAGTTTTCGTGGCAAGGATTTGGACCCAGGTCTCCAGAATTGAAATCTAAAGCTGAAAGAGCAGCTAATCCAGGCATGGGCCAACTTGGGCATTCCAGGTGTTTTGGACTTCAACTCCCACAATTCCTAACAGCCTACCGGCTGTTAGGAATTGTGGGAGTTGAAGTCCAAAACACCTGGAATGCCCAAGTTGTCCCATATCTGAACTAATTCCTCCTTCGTTGCTTCGTCATGCTGTTCTCCAGACGTGCATCTTACCTTGTATTTGGATGCAAACCTCTATCAATTCCCGGTATCCATGCCCCATAGAAGGAACCAGGGATACATTCAAGCGCATGGGAGCGCAACTGTGCAAACCCTATCAGTTTCCATCGAAGTTGACGCTCTGGGGTTTGCGCCCTTTTCGTGGCCTTAGGACTTGTTGAGATAACTTTGTCTGTCTTCTAGTGAATGTTATTATTTATGATTCTTCTTTTGTGAACAGCCTGTAACTTGAACCATAGTGCCATTTTATTTCGCTCAGTGTATTTGGGTATGTGTTTGTGTATGTATGCATATTAAACTTACATGGCCTATTACTGTGTTCTTCTTGTGTCTGTTTAAAGTATTAAAATAGAGTATTGATCCGTTTTGGGTTTTTTAAAGCTTATACTGTATGAAATTTTCAAAAATGTAACTTGAATCCACTTAAATTTTACTTAAAATCCAAAAAAACAAAAACAAAACCCAAGTAAAGTATGGGTCCATTTTGGATACGTTCCTCTGGTGTTCTCAGAGTTCGGCAACTGGACCAGCAGATGAGCTCATCTTAATTATTGGCATCTTCTAAATCAGGGTTTCTCAATCTTTCTAATTCCGTGACCCCTTAATACTGACCCTCATGTTGTGGTGACCCCCAACCATAACATTAGAATCATAGAATCATAGAGTTGGAAGAGACCTCATGGGCCATCCAGTCCAACCCCATTCTGCCAAGAAGCAGGAATATTGCATTCAAAGCACCCCTGACAGATGGCCATCCAGCCTCTGTTTAAAAGCTTCCAAAGAAGAAGCCTCCACCACAGAGAGTTCCACTGCTGAACGGCTCTCACAGTCAGGAAGTTCTTCCTCGTGTTCAGATGGAATATCCTTTCTTGTAGTTTGAAGCCATTGTTCCTCGTCCTACTCTCTAAATGGTATATCGTGTATACCATTTAGAACACCATTTCTCAACCTTGGTGTCAGGACCCCTGGGGGGGGGGGCAAGTGGGTGTCAGAGGGTCGCCAAATACCATCAGAAAACACAGTATTTTCTTTTCGTCATGGGGCTTCTGTGTGGGAAGTTTGATCCAAATCTGTCGTTGGTGGAATTCAGAATCCTCTTTGATTGTAAGTGAACTATAAATCCTAGCAACTACCAAATGTAAAGGTCTAGTGAAGGGACATTATCATTATTAGTATCCCTTATATAGGGGAGACACCATTGTGTCCTTGGTGCAGAGGTGCAGGAATGGCAATGGACCACTAGGGGGGACTGGCAAGCCATACCTCCGAAGGGAACGTTGCAGATTCCAGTCCTCTGACACTTATGCTTCACACCTTTCTGGCAAGGGGATGCAGGGGGCATCATGACCTGGGACTGATAGTAGGTTGTAGGCTACCTCACCTTAGGATGAGCTCACCTCTAGCCAATCACTCTGCCAATGATGTAATCCAACTCACTGTTACTATGCAAGCTTTGCAAAGAGCACAAGAAAAGATATATAAGCAGCTTGGCTGATCAATAAACTTTGAGATCACTTCTTCACCCCCCTTGACTGGTGGTTTTCTTCATGCGTCTCCAACAGTCTAGTTTTCCCAAACTCCACCAGTGTTCACATTTGGCCATATTGAGGATTAATGACAAGTTTGGTCCAGATCCATCATTGTTTGAGTCCACAGTGCTCTCTGGATGTAGGTGAACTACAACTCCAAATCTCAAGGTCAATACCCACCAAACCCTTCCAGTATTTCCTGACTGTGAGAGCCATTCAGCAGTGGAACTCTCTGTGGTGGAGGCTCCTTCTTTGGAAGCTTTTAAACAGAGGCTGGATGGCCATCTGTCAGGGGTGATTTGAATGCAATATTCCTGCTTCTTGGCAGAATGGGGTTGGACTGGATGGCCCAGGAGGTCTCTTCCAACTTCGATTCTATGATTCTATGTTTATCATTCGCTCCGCAATGAGCAACACTTCCTAGACTCACTGTTAAGCCATTGTAAACCCACTCCCCTATTTCGTAGCTTTGGGTTAAGGTAAAGGTAAAGGTTTTCCCCTGACATTAAGTCCAGTCATGGGGTGTGGCACTCATCTCCATTTCTAAGCCGAAGAGCCGGCGTTGTCCATAGACACCTCCAAGGACATGTGGCCGACATGACTGCATGGAGCACCGTTACCTTCCTGCCGGAGCGGTACCTATTGATCTACTCACATTTGCATGTTTAAAACTGCTAGGTTGACAGAAGCTGGGACTCACACCACTCCCCGGATTCGAACCTGCGACCTTTCGGTCAACAAGAAAACAAGATATAGATTTCATCAGCTGCTGATGGAACTAAGTGAAAGATGATTGCATCAACTTCTGATGGAACTAGATATGAGATGATTGCATCACCTGCTGATGGAACCAGATATAAGATTGATTTCATCAGCTACTGATGGAACTTAGGGCAAAATGATTGCATCAGCTTCTGATGGAACCAAACACCAAAGGATTACGTCATATGCTGAGATCTTTGGAAGACCCCAGCAGAAGTCACTGGATAATGTAATCACCTAATGTCTTGTTTGGTGGACATAGCCAGAAGATACTCTGGTCCTCTTAGAATTATAGAATTGGAAGAGACCATATGGGCAATCTAATCCAACCCTGTGCCATACAGAAAAGGCACAATCAAAGCACTCTTGACAGAAGGCCATCCAGCCTGTTCAAAAGCCTCCATAGAAGGAGCTTCCACTGGACTCTGAGGAACTAGAGGATTGACATGACATAATAGCCATAGAATCCTAGAGTTGGAAGAGACCTCATGGACCTCATGGTCCAACCCCATTCTGCCAAGAAGCAGGACAATCATGTTCAAAGTACCCCCGACAGATGGCCATCCAGCCTCTGTTTAAAAGTCTCCAAAGAAGGAGCCTCCACCACACTCCGGGGCGGAAAGTTCCACTGCTGAACAGTTCTCACAGAAAGCTCTTCCTCATGTTCAAATGGAATCTTCTTTCTTGTAGTTTGAAGCCTTTGTTCCATTGCATCCTTTGTTCCATTGCATATACAGACTTTCTGTATATATGTCAGATTTCAATATTAATGTCAAAAATACGTAGTATGATTTTACATAGGATTTGTGCTACATTAGAACATCATTAGGGCATCAGAAAACAAGCTCCCTGTCACATATTTATACATGGCTATCATGTCTCTTCTCAGCCTTCTCTTCTTCAGGCTAAACATGCCCAGCTCCTTAAGCCGCTCCTCATAGGGCTTGTTCTCCAGACCCTTGATCATTTGAGTCGCCCTCCTCTGGACATATTCCAGTTTGTCAATATCTCTCTTCAATTGTGGTGCCCAGAATTGGACACAATATTCCAGGTGTGGTCTAACCAAGGCGGAATAGAGCATGGGGAGCATGACTTCCCTGGACTCCTATCGATGCAGGCCATCCCTCCCAATTTGGTGTTGTCTGAAAACTTGATGATCATGCCATCTAACCCTTCATCTATGTCATTAATAAAGATGTTGAATATGCTCAAATATTTGAAGGGATGTGGTACAGAAGATGGAGCAAGCTGGATTTCTGCTGCTCTCAAGGCCAGGAGTCAACTTGCTGGAGAAAGATATTCTTATTTACTCCATTTATATACGGCTTTTCTCAGCCCTTGGGAGACTCAAAGCGGTTTACAGTAGCAAAAATTAAATGCTTAAACATCATAAAACAATTAAAACTATAAAATGATGACTTCAATATACAATCATTACAAAGCCAATACAATATTCTATCTCAACATTAAGAAGATATTCCTCATGGTAAGAACTGGTTGTCAGTGGAATTCGCAGCTGCCTGGCCTTCTGTCAGGAGGGCTTGAATTGTGTCTTCTTGAATGGCAGAATAGGGTTGGACTGGATGGGCCTGGAGGTGTCCTCTAGTTCTATGATTATGTTAAGGCTTTATTTATTTATTTATTTACGACATTTATATGCCGTCCTTCTCACCCCGAAGGGGACTCAGAGCAGCTTACAAGATATATATATATATATTATATTATCAGTATAGTACAATATCAGTATTAAATATTACTATATTGTACTATACCATTATATTGTAATATTATTAGTAACATTACACTATTTAATACATTAAATAGAATATTTTATTATATTTATGATATATATATTTATAATTATATTATAAATTAAATATATATATATATTTATAAATATAAATAATTTGAATATATTTATAAATATATT